GCTCCCCGCTCCCGGCCCCCAGTGGTCACCCGCCAGCCCACCGCCCAGCCCCAGCCCCTGTGCCGGCCCCACTGCCCGCTCATTGGTCTTCCAGGCAACTCGCGAAGGAAACCATTGGACAACTCGAGAGCCCGCCAGCCCCTCCTGGAGCAAGGCCCCGCCCCCGGAGTCCCACCCTTGGTGTGTCCGTGCAGCGTACTCGAGTACCGTGCCTCTGCAGCGGCCCAGCATTGAGCCTGCCTGCGTGGCTGGCGGGGGGGGGGGCCCCCCCCCCCTGGGGGGGGTGCCACTCCTGGGTTGGTGGCCTTTCCAAGTCCTGATCTCATCTCTGACTAGGATCTGCTTGGTTACTCCTGGGTGGGGAAGCGGGTGGGAGTGAAGAATGAGGAGGTGAGGAGAGACTTACATTCAATGGTCCAGACAGAAAAGGGCCCACCATCCCTTTGGCCTTTGCCCAGGGTCTGTCTTTGCCTGAACTGGATCATTTGTGTTGCAGCCTGAGAATTCCCCACCTTGCCCTAACCTCTGAGCTGCCCTGCTTTTGGTTTTCAAAGGACTGGAAAGGAATGGGAATTGGAACTCTTTCCTGCCACCTAGATCACCAGTAAGTACTGTTTGTTTAGCATACCAGTGTCCCTCTGCCTGTACAAGGAAAGTTAGGTTGGGGGAAGTTCCTCACCTTGATTCTGAACTGCGTTAGTCCAGAACAGTGCCTGCTGCATACTAGCTGTCAAACAAATCCTGAAGAACGAGAGGACTCTGAGAATGACCTTCAAAGGGGGGTGAGGGGGGATGGATGGACCCAGAACACAAAACAGAGAGTGAAGAACAGGAAAATCCAAGAGTGGGGGGAGGAAAACTAGTTTTAGACAGGAACAAGACAAAGGTAGAGCATGGTGCAAGAGCCTAAACTGCAACCTCTCATTTCGGGGTTTTGTCAAAGCCAGGTTTTTGTTTGTTTAATTTGGTTCTGGTTTTTTTTTTTTTTTTTTTCTTTCCGAGGCAGGGTTTCCCTGTGTAGCCCTGGCTATCCTGGAGCTCCTTCTGTAGATCAGGCTGGCCTCAAACCCACATAGATCTGCCTGCCAAAGGTGGACACCACCGTCAAAAGCCAGCCTTAACAGCATCTCTCTGTTGTTTTTGCTGGTCTAGCCCCTTAACTGTGCAGTGGAACAAATTCCTAATTACCAGGCAATTAGAGAAAGCCAGGAAAGCATACCACAGCATTTTTGCCTTTTCTGTCAGCAGTTCCTTCCAGTAGGTGGCCATGTAAATTGAACTGTAGGTGTGCAGACCGCTAGACGTCACTCTCAAGTAGCACATGTCTGGTAGTGTAGACAAACTGATAATTCAATGTTTAAAACAATTCTTTTGTAGTTTGTCAATTCTTTGATGCAGGGTCTCACTGTGTAGTCTTTGCTGGCCTGGATTTTGCTTGGTAGACCAGGCTGGCATAGAACTTACAGAGATCTGCCTGTCTCTGCCTCCTGTGTGCTGGGATCAAAGTGCCACCACACTCACCTCAAAGCAGATCCTGAAGACAAGGAAGGAAAGCAGATACCTGAGGTTAAGGAGAGGAGTGCTTCTCAAAGACTTTTAATGACTAAAAGTTTACTAGAGAAATAGAAAAAGCAAGCTGTGAAGAATAAGCCTGAAAAAGAAAGATTGTTTCAAGTTTGAGGCCAGCCTAGTCTGCATCATGAGTTCTAAGCCAGCCTGAGCCACAGTGTAACCTACACTGTGAGACTGTCTCAAAAATAAAACAGAAACAGAATAGGTAAAGCAAAGTCAGAGGACAGGAAAGTGTGCATTAGGTGAGCAACAGCTTCCAGGTTTGAGGGAGAGGAAAAGGGAAGAAAGAATGCCCAGAGTGTGTGCAGTAGTGACATTTTGAAGAGCCCTAAGTTATTCTGTAGGGAGTAGTGAGCAACAGGAGAGAAATGACAAAGCCAGATCTGTACTGAAGAGTGCTCCCCATGCTGGAAAGGGAGCACTCACCATTAATTCCCTTGCTGGGGGAATGGGAGCACTCACCTTTAATCTTAATCCTACCACTCAAGAGGCAGAGGCAGGTGTTCTTTGTAGAAGGCTTTTCTTTTCAGCCACCAACCAGCTTCTTACTAGTTAAGAATGCTTGGCCTAGCTTAGGCTTGTTTCTGGATAGCTCTTTTAACCTAACCTGTTTCTCTTTATCTACCTTTTGCCTCTGGGCTTTTTGCCTTTTCTTTCTGTATATCCTGCTTCTTCTGTGTTTGTCTGACAGCTGCCTGATGGTTGGCTCCAGGTGTGTCCTTCTTTCTCCCTTGTTCTCTTCTCCTTTTCTTTTTCTAGATTCTTCCTCCTATTTATTCTGTCTGCCTGCCAGCCTCACCTATCCTTCTTCTGCTTAGCTATTGGCCATTCAGCTTTTTATTAAACCAGTCAGGTGCCTTAGGCAGGCAAGGTGAAACAGAAACACATCTTTTCATAATTAAACGAATGCAGCATAAACAAATGTAACACACCTTTACACAGTTAAAGTGACATTCCCCAGCAGAAACAAGTGTAACTCATCTTTACATGATTAAATATTCGCACAACAGGTCTCTGTGAGTTGAGGCCTGCCTGTTCTACATAGTGAGTTCCATGTCAGACAGGATTACATAGGGAGAGCCTATGTAATCAAAAAGGAAGAGAGAGAGAGAGAGAGAGAGAGAGAGAGAGAGAGAGAGGGGAATTGGAGTGCATTACTGGCACAAGGACATCCATAAGGTATCACATGGAGGAGGAGAGGAAGGCAGCACTTGAGAAGTGGTTCAGAAAAAAAAGATTGATACAATATTTTATAAATCGAGTAGGAAATACAATCAAGAAAAAGAGCTCTAACTTTTAGCCTGTCAGTCTTGTCTTTAAGAGCAGTTTCAGCCAGCTGCTTCCTCCAGGTGAACACCTCAGGCCACAGCCATCATCACGGTCGGTCGTCTACCAGGACTCCATCACCATGATCAAGGAAACCTTCAGCCAGACTCTGCCTCAAGGTGGAAGGCTAGATGGTCAGTTCAGATAGAGGGTAACATCATTGATGACTCAGTCACCGGTGGAAATGCTTCCAATGAAGCTCAGAGGGCAAAGGTATCAAAAGTTCCATAATGACTGGTGAACCATCACTGACCAGAAACTGGCTTCACAAAAGAGACCACAGGCCTAAAACAAGTCCATCAGAGATGGTGCTAACTCCCTCAAAGGCAGACTTGGAGACCAGAAGCAAGAAAAAGTAAAGCCCTTTATGACCTGGGTTGCAGAACAAACCAAGCACATCCTGGTCAATTTCAATAACCACCAGTTATTTATGGATAAAAACAAATTTCCAGATGGCTCAGCTGCTCCTCTGGACTATGTGACTCCAGACAGGGTTTTCTTTAAGGGTGGTTTAGAAATGGAAAAATGCTAACAAACTGAGCAATTATATTGGCTGCATTGCCTATCACAACTGGATGCTGCTTGTTATCCGTACAACACCGGAACCCATGAGACTGATGTCATCTTGAGCTCTTCTTGCTTTTGACTGTGACTTATTTAGAGGTTTTATATATATATATATATATATATATATATATATATATATATAT